TTGCTCTATTTACTTTCTTTCTTCTGGACCAACAGTGGCTTGAGGTCTGAGACCTTTGTATCATTTTGCTTTTGCTCAATTTGTAGCTCACATAACCCATAACCAGAATCAACAAAGTTATACAAAACCTTTTCATAAGTGGCATGTGTTGAAATACAAAGCACTCGTGGGTTGCAGAGGCTGTGATGGTTTTTTTGTGTCTTCCATTCAAGGAGCTCGAAGCAAATGATTCACTGTGAGCAGTGGGAGCAATAAGTAGCATTGTGGAGCTAATGGACTAATGAATTTTAAGGAGTGTAATTTTGCATGTTCTCCTCCCAGCCGACACACCAACGTGTATGTGCACAGAGCTCTCTGAACTGCTGCTTGTGCCAATCTCGTGATTGCATTTGTAGGTACAGGTTTGGAGACTGGAGGGAACTGTTACAGTCCTGGCTCAGCTTCCCAGCCAAGTGCTGCTCTTCTCAGACTGTGGTTTCCTAACACAGGTGGGAACCACCCTGGCTCCCTTTTCCCCATTTAGTTGCTCACCTCAGTTGCTGCCAAAGCATGTTACGGAAATCAGTTTTGTTCTTTTTTGGTTTTTGCATTAACCGTTTGATGGAGAGGAGGAAATAAATCTCTGTAATGGCTTCTTTTTGTAGAAGAAAAGGGACAGCAGCTCAGCTGAATGGGCCTGTCATACTCCCAGCTGTGTGTTTGAGACACAATGTTTTATTTGGGCATGTGCAATGAAATAAGGATGTTTTCAAGAAAATCTGAATGGGATATATATAATCAGAGTGATAAATCATGGATTTTTAGATACAAACACTGATTATAGCWGTATCAGTGTAAAAACAGTGGGGAGAGCTGTTGATGTGACCTAAATTTTGCCCTGTGAATACCTCTGCAATGTGTAAGAGGCTTTGATTTGCAGAGGTTAAGTGTAATTCAGAAAGTGTAATTGAAGCCTGACTCCATCAAGGCTTAAATGTCTGTGCTGGTCCAGAATGTCTGACCTCAGCAGCAGAACCTGAGTGGCCGTCAGAGTCAGCTGGAAAACAAGAGCCCAGGAGGTTATGAAACAGCTCCCACGGCTCTTATCCAAGCCCTGCTTTTGTTAATGGCAKAAGAATCTTTGAAATGAATCAGAGTCTAATATATCCCTGAAACTCTTCCAATCCTGSCTGGATTAGGAACATGCTCCTGGTGTTGTAGTCAGCACTGCTTGTTTTGTCAATCAGTGAGTCAAAAACATGCTACAAATGCACRTGCACAGCCCTTGTGATGCTTTAAAAAGTGGATTAATGAATCAACTGTATTAGAATTATCCTGTTTAAGTCTGGGTTCTGAACCCTAACAATCATTAGGGGCTGAAAATGAGACTTTTACACTGGGGGCTTTAAAGCTAAAATAGTCTATACACCCGCTGCACAAGAATCCTCTCTGAGTACTTTGCAAAGCACCCACAAATTTGTTCAGTGAGTCCATCCCTTGTTTAACTGGCTCTTGCAGCTCCTCTGAACTCAAGCATTACATAAATGCAGAACATATTCAGGMAGCTGTCATGAGTGGTCAATAGGTACTTTGACTGTGAGAAAGAAAACCACTTTTTTATGTTTAAGTACTTAAGARGATGGCTTATAACCAAACTGTGGTAACAGCTCCCTGGAAGACACAGCCTCTAAGTACTTCTACGTGACATTTATCCAGTTCCACCAGGACTCTTTAAATCAGCTGGTAAAGTCTCACAGTATTTTAAAATCTTGTAAAAAAACCCCACTATTGACCCTTTCAACCATGTGACTCATGGAATGCTGATGGTAAATGAAAAATACAGGCCAGAACTCCTCATCTGTGGCAATAATTCCACATGGATCCTTAAGGTAAAATTAATGGTTTAACAAAGCTACTTGACTRCATGAAAACTATTACAATATAAACAGTGATGAATGGGAACAAATTTGGCTGTGCAAATAAAACCTAGGCAGGATACAAAACCAGGTGTAGGTGTGTGTTTAGGTACCACTGTGTGTGTCAGCAGGGCATATACAGAAGCACTAAAAATTTTGGCATTGTCTTTTGCGGAGGCTATTGACAAACAAGATTTTATGAGTAAAAATAGAGCTGGAAAGAAAGTTTGTTCCAGCCCTAAATAACATGATAGTGTATTGGGTTTGTGTGGCAATGTTTTGGYCATGGGGGGCTGCAGGGATGGCTTCTGTGAGAAGCTGCTGGGAGCTTCCCCTGTGGAGCAAATTCCTGCAGCTCCAAGCCAGACCTTTTATTCAATGTATAAATTGAATATTTAGGCTTGCTGGGGCTGGTTCATACCACTCTCACCCCACTTTGTGTAAGAGTTGGGGTTTGCCAGGCAGATCAGTGAAGTGTCAATAATTATGAAATCAGTAGAAAAGTCTGAAACGGTAAGAAATAATGTGTTCCCATCCAAAGAGGCAAAATCTGAGACATCCACTAATTTCCATCTGCCTGGSTAGATGTAGGTGTTGAATATAAACTTTATTAGTAATCAGCATTCCTTATTAATTTGCTTCCTTCGCTGCAAGGAAGACAAAGTTGATGAGCTGCATTCATGTGCAAAGGAATTTCAGCTTTGCTTATGAAAGCRATGATCCATCAGAACTGCTGCTGCCTTTGGAGGAGAAGGAAGCACAGATTTTTCCCTCTGTGCCTGGTGCCCTCCTGTGGTTTTTAKGTTCAGCTACTTGGGAGTGAATTAMACACATCAGTGGCTGATTCTTGAGCTGTGTAAAAGGTACAGAAGAGTTTGCCTGTTTAGCGTTGTGTGTTTGTGAGCACAGTGTGCTCTGGAAGGCTGGAATCCACCTTTTTCCATTTGGCCAGTTGGATTTTGGACTCCCTSAGTTCCCTAATTGACACCAAAACCATTTCTCCCAGCCCTCACCCACTGCTGTACCTGACTCAGACCTGACTCCTCCAAGGATTGTTATGGCTAAAAGGATTTGTGCTGGAGTCACTGCCTTCTTCAGTGGTCCTCATAAAATGCCCTCATGGATTATTGGCACTTTTAAAGAACTAATGTGAGGTCAAATTATTATACAGAATAGGGAGCTAAAATGCCAAGGATTACTTCTGTCAGGAAATGGAGTTTAAAATTTACTTTCTCAGCTAACTTGTCCCATTTTTCTTCCAGCTACAGCTGCAAAATGACAAAGGAATTTCTATATTGCATGCTGTAAAATCGACACAGGATAAAAGTTTCCTTGCACAGCATTTCTGAGTCTGTCATTAGAATATTTCTAAATTGCTGATCTAGAAATTCCCCTTTAAAATACATCATTTAGCCACAAACATTATGCAGAAAAACTTTACATAGAATATTCCTTTCGTGTCCATCTATTATAATAACTGGAGGTGAAAATTGCTGCTGTGGAGGTGCTGGTGTGGTTTGGTGCAATGGCTTTCTGTGCTTTCTGAAGGTGCTTGGCCAACAGCATTGCTGGGAACACAATGGGATCTGGGACTCTCTGTAAGCTTTGTAGTTCATTTTCTCCTGCTTTTTCTGCAAATTCAGAATCCAGTTGTAGTTTTGGGTGATTCAGAACTTTGAATGGTTCGACATTGTGTCAGTATTGATGGTTCCTCCCCATCCCTCGTCTTTTCCTCTTTTTCTGCCAAAATTCTRTTTGTGTACTTCTTTGAATTCACACTGTTTAAATTCACTGCCTCTGGTACCCGACCAGTTTGTCTTGGAGCATGAATACTGAACAGAGCAGGGTAAAGAATAAATGTTTTGATGCCCTCAAGTCTTGTCATGTTAGTAGGACATCCATACACAGGACTTGGCAGAGATGTATCCATCTCTCTGAGCTGTTTTAGCATTTTTTACACATGCAGATTTCTTTTTCTCAGATAATTTATACTAGATTTCTTCATGAATATGATCTGTTTAATCTTTTGCCTGTGCATGACTAAAAAGCAACTCCAACTATCCCATGTAGGTTAATCCATTAATCTCTATGTGTGAATCACAATACAAGAACRGTAGAAGTTTAAGTCTAGAATTTGATTATAATGTAGAAGTGAAATGTTTTTAGTGTTCATCGGTTTAATCAAGCAAGTGACACATTTGGTCAAATTGAAATACCTAATCATTTATTCACATAGAAACCAGTAAATTTTAGGGTTTGTGGCACAAAACTTGTTGTTAAAAAAAGAAAACAAGCTATGCCRTATAGCTTCTTTACCCTCCATAAAATGGCATCATTGCAGTTAAAATTACAATAAAAACTAAACATTCCAGGTGACATCAGTTGGAACACAATGTAACGAATATAATGAGAAAATCCTTGTCAGAAATTTTACCACAAGGAAATACCAATARCTAACACCCATATTCTCCACCTAGAAATCAAGAATATTTGAGTATTTATCTTGGCATAAAAGGCACAAAACACAAAGCAAAGCATGCTTGTGTCATTTCTCACACAGAAGCATTGACATTTGTGCAACATGGAAAAAGACCAGCATTTTTTCCAGACTCTTCCAATATCACAAATACTTAGGGAACAGATCTTCTCCTTAGTGTCACCCTCAGTGTGCAGGCAGTGAYTACAAGAAAAAGGAACATGGAGAAGGGAACACATCTGTACCCTCCTGGGAAATCTGAGGAACTGAGGAAGCTGCTGCAGTTKTATTGGAGTAACCCAATCCACTGCAGGCTCGGAGTAACACACCCCCTGGCAGCCAGCACTTGTGGGAATTCTGAGCCTGGCAGGAACGTTAACAATGCTGGAAACCCGTCAGGAACACAGGGTTGACTCTTGCATTTCAATGTGCGATGCCAGCCTCAAAAGAGCATTTTTTTAAAAAAAAAGGTTGAGTCCTTGAAAGGAAGGGCTCTCCCAAAGATGATGCTGCCTCTGGCACAGAGGAATGGCTTTGCTGATGTGAAGGTGTTTCAGAAGCGTGGATCAAACATCCCTGGCATCTCCTGCTGTAACAGGCTGGCACAGCAGCCTGTTATATATTTCTATATTTCTATATTTCTATAACCAGCCTGTCCTCATCATCACTGCTCGTGTCATCATAGTCCACCCGCGTTTGCTTCCTCATCATCTCTAAACCTCTCTTTTTGTATGTCTTGGGGGGTGTTGCAGAGTAACTCTTGAACTCAGGGGATCTGAGAGTGATTGGGAGCTTTCTAAAGGTAGCAGGAGCTGTTCCATGTGGCCTTCCATAGGGATTGTGCTGCAGGTGGGATCCCTTCTTGTCTGCRCTTCCATGCAGGTCCAGGAGATGCTGGGATGAGTCTTCCCTCTCTGAGTGTTCTCTGCTGGGTAACTGAGCCCTCCTGACCRACTCAGGAAGAGCCTCTGCTGGTGATCCAAACAAATGTGAACATCCCAGCTGGGAACTGGGAGTKGGGTTTTCTTTGGGAGGCAAACATTTGTTTTCTTCAGTTGGAAGTTTCTCCCTTCCAGAGGCCTGAATCACCGGGTCTGACAATCCAAATATTTGGCTCTCTGACTCTACCCTCAGTGCATTTTCCTGGCTTGCTCCTGGATGTAAGGAAAGAGGAGCAGCAGCCCCTGGGTTTGTGCTGTCAGGTTGGTCACCTGTGCCTGGATTTGTAAACTCAGGAGGGCAAGACCCAAAGGAAGCTGCCATGGATTCCCCAGGCAGGGAGTGCTGGAGCACGAGGGGCTGTGTCACCCAGCAGCAAATGGCCACGTCCCTGCTGAATTCCTGCAYGGATGTGTCAGCTGTGGAGGAAAAGGAATGAGCTGTCACAGCTATTCCCAGAGGAGCTGTAATGTTCTGGACAGAGGCGTTTGTTCTTGGGTGTTCCCTGATTTGCCCAGCAATGTCCTGTAGGAATTAGGAGGGGAAAASATTTACATTTAAACTTTTCGATCCAGAGCAATTTCATTTGATTGATGCCAGTTTAATTGTTCTTTTTAAAAAGCTAATTGTAACGGAAGTAAGTTTTCATTATATTTTAACCCCCAGAAATACCTTTCACACATTTTCAAACATTTTAAACAAAATCTGGGATACAAAATAGTCTCAACTTGAACTTTAAAACAGCTAAATATAACTCCAGTTGTAATTAACAATGTATTTTTCTGTTAATAAAAAATAATACAGGAATTAAGGTACAATACCTACCTTTTTACGCATTTTGTCCTTTTGTTTAATGTGGTTTAGGTTTTCAATATGGGAAGATATTCCTGAGTTATTCTTTGCTTCTTTTTTCCTTCTGCAAAGGGGTTTGTCTGAGGTGGAATACGATGTGTCTTTTTGCTGGTGTAGGTAATTTTCTATTGAAAAGAGGTTGGATAAACTTTTATTTTGATTTTTATTCCCCCACATGTTCAAACTCATTACATTTCTCATCACATCACTGAAACAACATTAATTTTAAAACAAATATTCRAAATACTTACCTTGCATCTTGGATTGAGGAGGGTGGCACTTCTTATGCTTATTAAATCTGGRGGGTTGGGATGAGCAGCCCTTCCTGAGAGCATCCAGTGCTCTGTTGGGAAAGCAGGGCCTCTTGCTCAGCCGGTTCATTTTCAGCTGAGCAAATCCATGGATGTGCCTCCCTCTGTACCTGCAGTGCCAGGGGCATTGAGGGGAGAAACAAAGATGGGAGATGTAAAAGCAGCCAGAGGAGAATAACACCACCTCATCATCAAACAGCAATTTACTACTGTGCAGGGGATGTCTGTTTATGTCAACTCAAAAAAAAAAAAAAATCAGGATTTTAACAATTATTTTAATATTTAATTTGATGTGCTACCTATTCATCATCACTAAGGAACAACATAAGGATTTTGGTTATTTAGAAAACTCCCACTGAATAATCCCACTCTGCTTCATTTCCTAATCTGGCTCCATCTTTCAGTAACGCTGGATGAGTGACACTGAAGTGCATTGGAACATCTCATCCCTAAATCAACAGACTGTCACTATCCACAGAGCAAAATGGAAATCTAAAAAGATGCACTTATTCAGATGTTTGGTGTATTAGAAAATTAAATTACTTTTTGTGGTTACCAGCTGGGCCATCTACTAACAGGTATGACCTGAGCTTTCAGGACCCTGTACTTGATTGAATCCCTGCACTTATTTGTTATAAATGAATTTGGTATCAATAAATTCTGAGATTGTCAGGGAAAAAAACTCACAACAGCAGAACACCACCCRAAAATCAAACCAGAAAAAAAGTCCTAGAAGAATGTCACTAGGCTGAATGACATAGGCCTGAGCCTTCTATTTTTGCTGTCATGACCCTTCAAACTGGACACGGTGATTGAGTTACTGACACTGATTTGTCCTCAAGGGACTCACTCTGTCTGATTTTGTTCATGAAATAGAGTAAGGGGGCTGCATGCACACAATGTGTGTTTCTTAATGAAGCAATTCATCAGACATCCTGCTGCCCCACACTCCTGAAAGATTAGAGGGTCAATGTTCCACCGATAGGAATTCCCATCAAACAGGGGGAGCTGTGCTGATTGAGACAATGTGTCCTTGATAGGTTCGTGCTCAAATTCTTCCTGCTTTTTTATTTAAACCAAATGATCCTTTGAACTACAGATGGTTCTGTTAGTTCGTATTAAACTTGATATTTATTCTTTAGCCTTCTCTTGTGAATAGCAGCTCAGGATATGGATCTTCCAAAGACAAAAGCACACTGCTCTGAGCTGTGACAGGATTGAAAACAGAAGCATTTGGATTTCCTTCAAACAAAAGTAAATGCTGACAATTTTGACAGATAAGAATGATTTCTAAACATTAGTAAGACTCAAGTGACYAGGCACCATCTTTCTGTGGGATATGTCTGGCTTGTTTAGGGAAGTTTCTTCCTGATAATAAATATTATATTGATATTTTTATAGTTTACCTTTGGGGCTCTGCCGTGGCATAACAAGAGCTCTTTCTGAGAGATTTATCCTTTTTTCCCCAATTTTGACAAGGTTGAATTTCAGGGATGACTTCTAATTTTCTGTGGAGTTTTGCACCCATTTCAGCAAAATGATATCTRTATCTAGGGAATCTGAAAGCCATACTCCTTACCATTTAGGGGTAACTTTAATCCTTTTCTGTTTGTGGCTTCTCTTGAGTTTATTTGTTGAGAATTTTTCCTTTTTGCAAACTACTGCTTTCTTCTTTTGCTCTGAAATATTTTTGAAAGAACCACCAGGAGCTGCAGTGCTKAACTGTTGAGAATATTGGGAAAAAATGAAGTAYRTGAAAACTGTGAATTAYATTGACTGAGAGGYTGGAAATCTKCACTTTTTRAATAGCGCTGAACAGCATCACAGTAAATAGCACAACTTTGTATTTAAGTCCTACTCCAAGTCAAATATTAATTTGGAATGAAAACAATGAAATGCATATGCTGTTACAGAAAAATATAAAACATCCCTCTAYRGGGAAAGAAATCAAGAAATAGAAAYTCACTATTCTCAYTATTAGCATTCCRAAATGTCAAGTGAAAGAAACTTAWATGTTCACACAGAAGTGTAGCTTTCTTATACATCAAATGAATATAACAGCATAAATTGTAAATTCTGTATTAGCAAATGCCTGTAAATGCCCATAAATACGCTTCTGATAATTATTTCATTTTTCTAATAAGAGGGTGGGGGTGGCTGTCAGCCAATAACACCCTCTTGAGATAGCAAATAGGATTATTAATATTACCTCTTGCATCTGGTGTCCTTTAGAAAAGGATGAAACCAACGATTTTAAGCTTGTGTTCGTTAAGCCATACGCCACAGTCTTGCTAATATTTTTCATCTTGAAAATGGAAATGTCGTATTTTGACAGGGTGCTGGATTCCTTGTCACAGGTGGGCACGGAGGAGTGGGCAGATCCTGCATCCCCACTCTGCTCCGAGGGCAGGGGGAGGCTCCTGCTCAGGCAGCACCAGGTCAGCCTGGGCTCAGCACTCAGGGATGGGAAGGTGCTCTTGGAGCCCAGCATGGGTGAAGTGCCAGAGTAGCARGTCCTGTTATTGTGGGGCAGCACTGGGAATTCTTTACAGTGAGTGCTGAGGGTGTGGCAGTAAAACGTGCCAAAAGAGTGGCAAAAATAAGCGGGGTTGTCTCTTGAGCTCTGGGAATGCTGCAGATCCTGCAGTGGRGGTGGGATGTCCTTAAGGATGCGTGGGCTTCCCACTCTGTCCCATCCCAGGATTGTTGGCTCKGCACCCTTGCTAGAAGCTGATGTCTTTATCCTAGAGTCACTTCCCGAGCAAAGGTGATGTAAAGCCTTTCTCTCATCTTTGATGTCAGCAGATATGAAAAAGCCACTGGTATACACAGAAGTAAAGCATATTTTCTTCTTTGGAGTCTGTGTAGAGCAAGTACTTTTACTCATCCAYTTCTCTTCTGTTTGCCTTTGATAATTGAATTTATTCTTGTTCTGTTTGTTTTTCCAATCCTCTCTTGCTRTATCCTGCTGCCTGAAGTTTTGGTTATGAAAGGTGTTCTCTGCTGTGGTTAAAGTATTTGTGGTTTCTGGCTTGACTGRTGAACAAAATCCTGGATTTTTCCAGTTTGTGTGTAGATTCCATTGAAWGTCTCCTTTGCCAGTCTTTTGTCTCACTTCAGATTTTAAAGGGGAGCAAATCACATCATCAGAATGAGAATGGAGGGATGTGCTGCTGGAAGAGCAAGGTAGGGAGGTTAAGGAGTCTCCCACAGGTGTGCCAGGTGTCATCTCCTGTTCAGATCTAAGCAAAAGTGACAGATCTGAAGCTCTCTTGTCCTGTGGCAATTTAAGKATATATTTTGGAGAAAAGGCATTTTGTTGTGGGACTGGACTTAAATGACCAGATTGCAGATGATGACTTTGAGAAGACACATCCACAGCATTGTCATTGAGAAGTGGCACTTTTGCTGCTGTTTTGACAAGATGTGTTTTGTCATCTCCATCTGCTGCATTGTGCAAGGCAGAAGAGYTGGAATCACTTCCCCTTAATTCAGACCCTAAAAGTCCCACCAGTGAAGCTTTTGAGGCACCTGCGGGATGTGAAAGAAGGTTAATGTCACTATAATTAAGAGTTTTTGTGGGAAGTTTGATTGTTTTCATATATTCCACATTCTCAGTCCTTCCAGTGGATTCATTAATTCCTGTGCTTGATTTTTGCTCCTCTGATTTGCTGGAGAATTTCACTGGAGCTGTGGCAAGACTGTGAGTGCCAGAGCAAGGGATTCTCTCTGCTTCACTTACTGCAGGGGTTTCACTACCAGGACTAGGGCAGGACACTGAAATCACWTTTTGTGTCTTCTCCACTTCGAATTTCAGCTTTTTCCTTTCTGATGGCAAAGTCTGGGATTTCCCTGCAGTTTCTCTGTTGTTGCAATGGACCCACGGGGGCGTCGGGCCGTGCTGGCCACTTTCCTTAGTCCCGTGATGGTTCCCATAATTGTGCAAAGGGYTTTTACAATCTAACTCAAATGCACTGGACTCTTTCCCAGGGTTTGGTTTCTCCCAGTTGCTACTCTGCACTGGCAATGAGTCCTCATTCCTCCCRTGGCTGCTCAGCTGACATTCAGGATTTTGAAGCCTGAGCTCACCACTGCTCAGAGCCAGCAGTGTGCTGCTGCCAGCTGTGCATTTCTCCGTGTCACTGCCACAGAGCTCTCGGGATGTTGGGCTGGTTCCAGCTCCAGCAGTTATGGGATGTGATGTCTCCATTAGGTGGGACACTCTGTCTGCAGCTTCCTCAGAGGACACATTCTGCAGAACACGATTAGCATCAGTACAGGTTCCTGATTTACCCGTGGTTGAAGCTGCTGTCACAAGGGAGGAACGACTGTCACTTACAGAGCTCCTGTCATCTCTTTCCTCAGTAATTTCAGTGCTGCTGGCTGATTCCCCTGAATTAGGAGTGAAGCTTGTAATATCTGTGATCTTATTCCCTCTTTGTTTAATTTTCTTGGCATTTTGACTGCTTTTCATTTTTTGGTAGATTTTCTTAAATGTTTCGTCTCCATACATTTGCCATTTTTCTTGAGAGAACATCTTTAACTTCCTTTGATTGTGCTTTTTATTTTTAGCACTGATTACTTCTCCAGCCCCAAGCTTTTTACTCCCTTTCAGCTCCTCTGACAGAGAAGGATGATCAGCCACATTACTTAGGGGCAAATCATCCACCGCTGTTTGTCTGACTAAAGCTCGGGGATGGCTATTAGGGAAATCCACTGAATTCGCAGTGAGATTGTTGCTAGGCAGCAAAGCAGCAGTGCCTGTGTTTACAGACTGCTTAGTAAGAGAAAGTGGTTTTGAGCAWCCTGGTTTGTCATGCACCATCCTCGCTGCCTCCACAACAGGCAAGGAGTTGCTCCGAGTAACAGGCACAGTGTCGATTGTTGTGGAGAACTGGGTAGGAACTGAGTGGAAAAACATTGGCTTGCATTTCTCCAGTGGTGCAAAGGTAGATTTTGCTGAGCAAAGGGAAAGATTCTTTTTCCTATTTACATCACAAGTTCTGATATCAAAATGGAAAGAGTCTTTGTAYGTGTAAGGCATTGGCAGGTCAATGCTTCCCTGCTTAGAAAGGACAGTTTTTCTGGGCCTGACATTATCCAAATGGGTATCATCCACCACGCTTTTGTTGTGAGAAATAAGCTTTGAAATGTGTTCTTCCAGCCTCTTTTTCTCCAGCATGGAGGCTGTAGCTTTGTCAGGCCCCTCTGGCTTTGCAGTGCTCCCGGGGGCACACCTTGGGCTGCTGAAGGCGGTTTCGGTTTCCAGCTCTGTGCTGTGCTCGTGCAGACTGTGCAGGGGGCTGGATGATGGCATCTGCTGTTCTGTGCTGTCAGAGCGTGACAAATACCCCGAATCGGTGCTCTCACACTTCTTCAGCCTGCACTCCAAGGGTTTGTAATCCCACTGCTTCTCTGAAGAGGTTGCCTGCTGCCTTTGCAGCTGAATGTGCTTATTGGCAGTYGGAGTTCTTTGCTCCTGCATCTTCTTTCTCAGGCACGGACCATTTGACAAAGCTCCTGGAGATGATAAACTTCGAGGTTCTCTTTCATGAATGCCCTGATTAGCTTTTGAACTGAAGGACTGATGCGTTATTTCTTGATTTTCTGGAGCAGTTGATGAAGTGCTTGTTGACAGAGAGAGCTCMTGAGGTTTCTCAGTGTCTGTCGCTGAACTGTCTGAACTGGGTTGTTTGATCTGTATCCCTTGGTCTTCACTGATGCTACCCAAGACTTTGCTGCCTTGGGGACAGGCTGTACTCTCTGCCGGTCTCTCATTTTGCTCCGCTCCCCCGTTGATGTCGGGCTCTGAGGGCAGCCTGGTGTTGTTGACGTGTGTTTGTGTTCTCCTGTGCTTGTACAAGTTGCTCTGCGTTTTAAACGCAATGCCGCAAGTGGTGCAGGGGAAGGGCCTCTCTCCCGTGTGAGAGCGGATGTGTTTCTCAAGGACACTTGGCTTCAAACAATCTCGTCCACAGTGCTTGCAGATGTATTTCCCAGATTTTTTCGATTTTCCAACCGATGCGTTCACACAAGAAGTCGGTGATGACAAAACYGGTAAAGTGCTGACTATGCTCAGCGTTAGGCTTTGCCCGAGCTGTTTCTGGAAAGGCGGCGGAGGCCGCTCGGTGCCGTCCGCAGGAAGGAGCGGGTTGAGGATGAGGGGAATGTGGCCGCTGTCCAGATGGACGCAGCTCCTGGCGGGCACCAGTGGCTGCAGGGATCCCGGCGGCACGGGCTGGAACAGCGGGATGGTCAGTGCTTTGAGGTACAGGGGCTGGGCCGGGGGCTGGCCCCGGGCTGGGGCTGAGSAGTTCCGCGGGGCCTGAGGGGCCGGGCCCGGCTCGGGATCCGCCACAGCGGCCGCGGCTCCCAGCGGGGTCTGTCCCTCCATGGCGGGCCCGGGGCCTGCTGCTGTTCATGGATCTGTAGAGGGGACACACAACCGGCACAGCACCTGAAATACTGCTGGACTGGGGAAAAGAGCGACCCAGAATAGCACAGATCGTACGTACAGGCATTATACAGATAATCGTTACTTCATTTCCCAATTAAATGGATTCATCTTTCATTTCTCATCTAGGAATTAAAGTTTAGTACAGTGTAAAGAACACTGAAYGCAGTCACTCTTACGACCTAYACTGCGTACCAAAAGCATTAGAAATAAATCAGAGTTTCAGATTTGCAAATGGAGRCTCTCAGCATACCAGAAATAATACRCTTTTAACTTTCTAGAACCATATTCCCATTATATATCTGTGTCATATTTTAAAATTTAATTAATAGTAATAATTTTCATTACAGAAACACAGAAGAGTTGAAGTTAGAGGGGACCTCAGGACATCTCCAGTCCAAACACCTGCTCAAAGCAGAGTCAGCAGTGTCGCATGAGGCTGTCAGGGTGGTACCAGTTTGGTTTTGAAAACCTCTGGGGATTAAAACTGCAATTTCTTTGGGCAACCACCTCCAAACCCAGGACATTAAACATGCCTGCATGTTACCTGTGTTTATCCAATTTAACAGAGCTAAGGCCAAACACATTGCAGCAAGGGTGTAAAATGAACATGTGTGAAGAAAATKAAAGTCATGTCCTGTTTACGAGTCAGATTTGCATAAATATGTGCAAAGCAGGAAAGATGGTATCATAGGAAAACWGTGTGATAAATTAAAGCTGGCTTTTGTGTAGATCAAAATAATTCGGTCTAATTAATGGAGCTATTATTGTATACTGGTTATTTTGGATGCTTTCAATGCCAGATGAAAACATCTTCTAGACACRTTTTTTGAAAAAAGTGAACCTACTCTTTTGAAATCTGTCCTAATATATGCAGRGTTGGTGCTGGTTCAGACTGATTCTTATTTCAGCAAAAATTTGTATTTTTTCTTTATTAGAAACAAAGGGGGAAACTATCAAAATAAGCAAGTTGAAAATTTTCTTTGGAAGAGCTGATAGGGTCATGAGCATAACCCCTTGAAATTAGAGTTTGGGTGAAAATCAGGTGATCTGTGAATGTTTATTTGATTCTGACTCAACTATGCTTGCTGGATGCACTGGCTGCTRTGAATGATGGGTTGTTCTTGTGCAAACAGCCGTAAAAAACCCATTTGGAATAACATAATCAGTGGCTAAATTTGAAAWCTGCAATTTGTTGCTTTGCTGCATAATCTCTAGTGGTGTTTCTGTAACTTCCTTGGATCATTTTAATAGGTGGTCATTACTGGAAAATAGTAAAAGAATTGCTTAAAAATGTGGTTTGAAATTTATACTGGTTCCATTCCAGAAAAAAAAAAAAACCATTAGAATGAACTGATCTGTGCACAGCAAATTGTTAGATTTTGCCTTTTTTTTCTTCCTTATGAATGTTATAAATCAGGCTCAGTTATCAAGCATGGACTTTTCTTATGCACTTCTGACATTTCTATGTGGAATAATCACTTAAGTGGCTTTTTATTACAGGTAGTGACTGTAATGATGGAAGAATGATAAAAGAGTATGGCTTGTTAAACAAATTAAGTTATTATCCATATTGTGCAGAGTAGTTACCACTACAGGAGAAAAGTGGATTTCTCTAATTTGCAAAGTGATGTTTTCAACATTTCAAGTCCATTTAAGATGGTTCCTAAGTTACACAGTCACTTTTAAATTTAAACACAGCATACAATAAAAGCAGCAGCAAGGGATAAAACATGAGCCAATTATACAAACTAATCAGTAGTTTTTAAAAAGCTTTTTTTTAAAGAAGTGTAGGGAAAAAAAACATGCTGCAGAAAAAGAAGAAAAGAACAAAAGTAAAACCTGAACACCCAGTAGGTAGAAGGTCTAACAAGTACCACATCWGACAGAACCAGTCCCTGTGTCTTTGCTCCCCTGCTTCCCCTGGAGGGAAGTGTGCAAATACACTTCCACATGTACAAAATGTATTTTACATTTCGTGTCACAAACTTTCTCTCTCTGTATTCCTCCTGGCCATGCAGAGCTGATGGGCCCTCCACAGACAGATGTTTTTCATATGAATTTCATGATTCCCAAGTGCCAGAGCCTCTGTAATTTCACTTAATGCTGTTAAGCTTCTGGGGCCCAAAACACAGAATAATTCTGAGACTCATTTCAGTGTTCTGTAATGCTCCACAAAGTGATGACAGAAAATTTAAAGGAAGGTTTTAAATAAAGCTCAACAAGTAAACTGATGGTGATAGATAATATAATATACTTTGAAGACTGTAATGACACATCTCTACTAGGTGTGGTAGTTTGCTGCTTTTCACAGCCAGAAAAAGCACTTTCTTCCTGAGTGAAACTGCCATGACTTGTGTTCTACCGAGGCAAATACCATCAGACTTTTCACATCTGTTGTTTATATATGAAAAAGGCCACTGTATTTTTTTTGTATTATGTTGACCAAAATAGTTTATCTCACACTAATTGTGCCCCAAGGCTGATTTGGGGTAGTCCTTGCCCACAGTAGAACTTCCTCTGTTTATTATCCCCCRGGCTCTGTTACTGAGCATCCACCCAATGTTCTCAGCTGTTTGTAACTTGTGGCATTGAACTGCCAGCAAAAGAACTTGATCCTAATTAGATAAGGAAAATTTTCCAATGAACCAAACTAAATGCAGGATTTGGCCAGACCAAAATTTTCTACACTGTTTTCCTAAGCTACTAAAACTGGTCACTAAATTTCCACTGAATACAATTACAATTACTGTAGTGTGTACACTTCAGGTACACACCATAGGCAGGTCTGTGGAACACTGAAAAGTGGAGCAGCTTCAGACAGAAAATTATTGTAGCAGAAACRGTCTTAGTATAAAGTAAGTATAAAATATTTTAATGCAGGAGGTTGGTATAAAAAAACTCATTTTAAATCCAATAAGTTCCATTTTTATAGACTTCTTCCTGATTTCTAAATACATTTTATAAAGCTTGTTACATTGTGTCAGTGCTGTTATAACTTCGGACTGTAGAACCAAAATATTTGTCTCCTTCATGGCACAAGTAAATGCTCTGTCAACTGCCCATCATTATTAATGAAATCAATAACTAAACATGTAAATGCTTATTTTCTGAACTTACCTATCATTTTTTGACACAYCACTGAGCAGAGCATCAGTCTCTAAGCAGACACAGCTCAATTGCTCAATCCCCCACCTTGGTCCACAGGTACAGGCTGGGACATGACAGWCTTAACTTTATTTTTGTAACCCCACAGAAGCAGATTTTCAGCATTCTGAACATACACAATATACTCAATTATACCAGGAGTCTTTGCCTTTTATAAAGTTTTTAGTGATCCCTACCTTAAATACACCAGAGAGCAGAAGTGGAAGTCTGGAAATAATTTAGTCTTTAGTCTGGAAATAATTTTAGCTCACGTACCTTTGATTGATCCCGGCATTTCAGCAAAAAAGTCTCATTTCTGTCAATACTTGATGCAAGCAGAGAGAAACGAGGACAAAGGCTTGAAACAGATTAGAAGTAGGAAGTTGGTTTTTTCTTTTTTTTTTTTTTTTACATTGGTGTCACAGTAACAACCTTCAGAAAACAGGAAGAGTTGAAACAGAAGAAAATGAAGTGGCATTTCAATCTCTCTGTATCCTTTATCACTATGTAGGAAGCTCTAAACAGAATCTTYGAAATGTGGGGATTTTGTACCCTGCTTTTAATTGTGTGGTCACTGACACAGTGATGGGGTTTGTAATTTAAACTCCTAAAGGTAATTTYCTTTTAACTTTACAGTAAAGGGCTCTCTTAAAACATGTTGGAAAAGAAAACAGTGGTGGAGAGAAGACACTTGCCACACATGAAATGCTAAACTTATCCAGCRTGGGTGTTGTCCACCAGCTTCTTCTAATGGTGCCCTGGGAGAGGGGAGAAAACAGTAACCAGGTGGGAAAATGCCTCAGGAATGTTAAAAGTGTTTAGGTCATGCTCARCAAACCTCCCTAAACTTGTGGAAAGCTGCAGGGAAAGCAGAATAAGGCACAGGTCAAGTGCAGTGAAAAGGTTATTTAAAAAAATTTCATCTTCTGTGTGGGTCAGTTCCTAAAAAGGGCTCAGGTAACCCAATGAGCAGCACTGAGGGGTCGTGGGAGGAGCTGCTCTTCTTTATGCAAACCCTTGTTTGAAATATGGACTGGGATGGCTGGGTCCTGCTCTGCTGGTAGACTGAATCCCAAACTGGCATATGCATTCCTAGTAATGGTACAAAACCAGCAGATCTGGCCTGTGAAATTAGGAACACCATCTTTTGGGAGGTGTAGCTGTTATTTTCCCTGTGATGAGCAGCTGCCCAGTTCAAACACTGCAGCCTGTCTCTTGTTGGGTAGTGGTGAAACTGTAATGTTAAAATTGCCCAAAATCCACTTCAGTGGGAGCTCTTTCTTTTAATAATTCTGGTGATAGACTAACGCCGGAGGCCTCTGTGGATTTCAATTCCAAACAGCTTTATTGATCCTGGAGAGCTTTGCCTGYTGTTTGGATTGCTTTCCGTTTATTTCTGGAGCCCTGATTTAGCAGGCCTCTAATTCTGGTGGTGGARAAATATTTCTGTCTTGTTCTTGCCATCTTTCTTGCCTATCACAGAGTGATTCAGGGGGCAGAAAAGCTCTGAACGGGGCCTGTATTACTGCTTGAAATCCTCCTGCTTTCTACCATACCCTGAAATGCTCCCAGTAATTGGTAATGGCACTGCAGACGCTTAAAATCAGTGAATCTAGAAAATACTTGACATTCTGAACTGCTTCACAGTGACTCATGCTTCTGCTCTACAGACTCAGTCTGTCCAGATGGAGAGAATTACATGCAGCAAGTAGTTTCAGCTCTGCTGGGAGATACTTTCCTAAAGGAATGTGTTCTCACCTCTAAGTGAGATCTTCTGGAGGATTACTGCATGC